AGGGAAAGCTACAGAAAATGGAATGCAGACTTCCAAAGAATAGCAAGGAGAGACAAGAGGGCCTTCTTAAATGAAGAGTGCAAAGATATAGAGGAAAATAATAGAAAGGAAAAAACCAGAAATCTGTTCAAGATAATTGGAGATATGAAAGGAACATTTGTGCAAAGATGGACATGATAAAAGACAAGAATGGGAGAGACCTCACTGAAGCAGAAGACCATCAAGAAGATGTGGCAAGAATACACAGAGGAATTATACCAAAAAGATCTAGATGCCCCAGAAAACCCAGATACTGTGGTTGCTGACCTTGAGCCAGGCATCCTGGTGAGTGAAGTCAAGTGGGCCTTAGAAAACATGTCTAACAACGCCAATGGAGGTGATGGCATTCCAGTGGAACTATTTAAAATCTTTAAAGATGACACTGTTAAGGTGCTACACTCAATATGCCCTCCGAGGCGAGCAGCCGGATGGAGCACCTCAGCCAGCCTCCCGACGCTCTGACACGGTTAAGGTGCTATACTCAATATGCCCTCCGAGGCAAGCAGCCGGATGGAGCACCTCAGCCAGGCTCAGCCTCCCAGCACTCAGACACCGCCACTGCCACAAAATAGCAAAAAGAAACACATACTAACCATATTTGTAATTAAATTTTCATGGCATGTCTTAAAACTTGGTGTCCTTTTTTATAGTAATAGATATATTCCTTTCGGTTTTGGAATAATATAGACTTCCTTGAGGTTTGCTTGCAGTCAGTGTCCTCCCAACACAGTGGCAGAAATCCTGTTGCTTAGTCTAGTAAATGACTCTAGAATAGGTCCATTGAATCAATGGGGATTTAGTGTGTTAACTCCTTCACAAGTTCCGTTGATTCAACGGGCCTATTCTAATTGTAATTGACTTTAACTTAGTAAAGCCACAGCAAGTGTTGGCTCAATTTAATCAACAGACATGCCAAATCTCCCACTGCTCCAGTGGTCCTACTTGAGTGCACTTTACTAGGCCAAGCAATAGGACTTTGGCCCATGTGTCAGAAGTCCTATAAGAAGTTCCCTCTATTTCTTTTCCACTTGGGCATGCAACCTGGTGGCCATGCTGCCGATGCTGCATGGGAGATAAAGAAGTCATCCCAGGCACATGTAAAGATCATTGTACTGTTGGTTGAATTGTGACCCTCATTCACAACAGAGGTATATGTTTATCAGACTTTTAAGAGAAATATCACACTTTTTGTGCATCTTGACATTGTTTCCATATTTTGTGTAGCAACAAATCCATATCTTGAAATAAGATCTCAAGACTCACCTCATGCAACATTGCATAGACAACAACACTGCTCCAGAAATCAGTCAAGGAGAATGTATTATCTTTGCTTGATTCTACAAGGGCATCCACTGCTTTCTTAGGATCCCAAGCTGTGCTTACAAGCTTGTTGCACAACTTTTCTTCTAACACGGGAAGATGTTCTGTCCATTCCTCATGTTCATAGATATACGACATGCACCTTGAAAAACAAAACAACATGGCTCAGGAGTAAGACCTGAAGGTCAAATGAGGACTGGTATAGATTTTCAAAATGCAAATCCGACTTAGTGTCATTTAAGGAACAATCTTTGTAAATACTTGTACAAAATCACTTGATCTGTACCTGCATGATTATTGGTTGAACAGATGTAAGCCATGTGCTTACATTCATTCAGCATATAAAATTCCAATCTTTTTTGACTGAAAAGTCTCACTTGCTGATGTCCTCCATTGCCAAGATAGCATAACAATGTTAAGTTACTGCATAAACTCAGACCGCAAATACATACCCATTCCGAACACTGTTGAAAACATACAATATTTTTACTGGATCACCTTTGAGCTGCATTTTGAGAACAGAGCAGGGATTAGAATAAAAATCAAAATATAAAATGAGAAGATTAAAGGTTGGGCAGAGGAAGTATGAAGAAAAGAGAAAAGAAGCTGTATAAAACACAAAGCTAAACCCCAATAAAGCTGCTTCATAAATGTCCTTTCTAGAGATGGGCGCTTTGTGCACTGTATAGCTTCATACGAAGCACGAAACACAGCACCACAGGAGGTGTTGAGTTTTATCTCTCTCCCCCCCGGACTGGCTGGTCCACTTACCAGGTTTCACATGCTGCCAGGGTCCTTCTTTGGCAGCATCGCTCCAGACTAATAATGTACTAATAAAGCCCAGCAAGCCTTCTCCCAGGCAGCCAACCACTCATTGGCTGTGGAGACAGACTCCCCATTCTGCCTCCTCACCAGAGTGGTTGGCTGCCTGAGGAGGCGGGGAAAAGCTAGCTGGGCTCCTGCCTGGATTGGATTTTGGTGAGTTCAAAGCTCCCAATCCACATGAATAGATCTGGTTGGATTCAGTGAAGTGGTTGGCTGCCTGAGGAGGTGGGGAAAAGCTAGCTGGGCTCCTGTCTGGATTGGATTTTTGTGAGTTCAAAGCTCCCAATCCACAAAGAATTTGGTTTGAATACAATATAAATTGCCATGAATAGATCTGGTTGGATTCAGTGTTCAGACAAATTAGCTTCAGCTCTGTACTCATAAATATAGTAGTGACTAAAGTTTTCTTTGAAAATCATTATCGCTCATGATTACAGTCTTATTAAATTATTAACTTCTCAATCAGGTAGTGCTACATTTTCAATGGCCAATGCCACTTCTCCAAAGTCACAGGTGATGTCTACTTACCATGTAGAGCCTGACACTCCACAGAGATACATGACAGCATCCAACAAGCCCTGTTTCTGAAGTTCTCCCAGAACTCCTTGAAGTGCAATCATGGCCCTTAGACTTCCACCTGATCCTAAGATTGCAATATTGGGAACATTGCTCTGTAGGAGGGCAGGAAGGAAGAACCTGTATTTTTAAAAAACCTTTTCATAGGTCATAGCTAATAACTTTCTAACATTCTGTTCTGCAGTAGACATATAAACATTTTACAGCCAAAATGCTGCTGCATTTGATGGAAAGGGAGTGGCATAGCATGCAGTGGCAAATTGCTGCTAATTGATTGTTTGCTTGGAGTCTGCATTGTGCCAGTCCAGTGGCTTGTCATGTGACTAAAAATCCAATCAGGGACTCGTTAACTAGCAGCAATTTACTGCTGTTAGTTATGCCATTGTTTTTCCTCTGGTGTAAATAAACAACAGGATTTGGGCCAGTGCATTAGATGAATTCTATGGCAAAAGGTAGCATTATCTTGCTTTGAAAAGATGCTAAATGTTTGAATAGTACTCGTGAACCAATTGTTATAGTGACTGCAGTAAAACTTTACTTGAACATTTTTATATCTTCAGACAATATTGTTTCTGCACAGAAATAGGTAATCTGCTAAATAAATTAGCAATAGAACCAAAGACATGCTAAAATACATATTTTGCGGATCGTCCCAGTTGTAATTATCACTGGATTCCAGTGAAGTAAAAGTGAAAATGGAATCATGACCTTAGAGATATGACTAATCCCTGAAAATAAAAGCTTATTATAACTCAGTTTAGAACTAAATCCACTGAATATCAGTATTTAGATTTTAGATCATTCCATGGTGTGTTTGTTTGTTTAACTTCAATAAGAAGACCAGGACTTTCTGAATAAAAGATTTGCAACATGTGGCGTCCTATCAGTGCTAGCCAGCAAAGCCAAGGAGGTAGGATGATAGAAGCTATGTCCAATAACAACTGGAAACACCCCCCCATTTATTTTTTTTAAGTGTTAATTAACTATGGGCATTTTCCAGCACTGTTTTATAAAGATAGAAAATTGCTGTGAACATCACAGCCTCGCTCCTGAACGTTGTACTACAAGGGCCATGCATTATAGTCATCCCCTCAGACTTATGATGAGACTCCAAGTTCTGCAGAAGGTTACAATATGGATGCTTGGAAGGTCTGCAGTTGGTCAGTTTATCTATTCTGTCTCCCAGTTTTCCTGCCTCTTCATTCTTCAACCTTTTCCTGCAACATCACTTCACTAAGCCTATGGTTTGCTTGTTTTTCAGGCCATTTCCCACCTCCCCTTTCCCCCTGCATTGACAACTATGAAAATCTTAGCAACACCCAACAACAGCCTCCTTCCTATCCCACAATCACTGCTATGGATTTTTGTCATTATCAATGACACTGCGTCAAACCACCAAATCCAGTGAGATATTAAATGCAGATCATGGACATTTACCGTAGGAAAATTGGCCCCAAGCTTCTGCAGACAACTATGCACTTTGATTTGTCTTGTACGAATGATTGCCTTTTCTTCGTCAGATATATCTCTGGAAATCCGGATTATATCCCTGGTTTAAAAACAAGAGAAGAATAGTCAACATTATCAGAAATGGGTCTTCATCATCTCTGTCAGGATTGCACCTAGGATCATTTGCAAAAAGAAGGACTATCATTGACCTGTAGTCTTTCACCAGATCATTCGTGGCACTGTGGGTTAAACTGCAGAAGCCTCTGTGCTGCAAGGTCAGAAGACCAGCAGTCATAAGATCAAATCCACGCGACGGAGTGAGCTCCTGTCGCTTGTCCCAGCTCCTGCCAATCTAGCAGTTCGAAAGCATGTAAAAATGTGAGTAGATAAATAGATACCACCATGGTGGGAAGGTAACGGCATTCTGTTTCTAGTCGCGCTGGCCACGTGACCATGGAAACTGTCTTCGGACAAACTCTGGCTCTATGGCTTGGAAACGGGGATGAGCATCGCATCCTAGAGTCAGACACGACTGGACTAAATGCCTAGTCTTTCACCAAATAATAGTGGGAACATTTACTCAGAATTAAGTCCTATTGATTTCAGTACAACTTAGTTGAGTATATATAGGAGTGGCACCTTGATATAGCAAGCTGATATGGATGAAGCCCAATCCACACACCTCCAACATGACTGAAACAACCTAGATCCTTGAGGTTCTTTTTCTTTTTCCACGTCTGAATCTGCTCTATCCTGGTTCTCCCCAAGCAACCCTCCACCAAAAAAGTAGTATATTTGTATACATATTTTTTCAAATGTATTTTTTGTACACATTTCATGATGGAATGAAGCATTTTTTCAATGAAATTTAAAATACACACACTGCTCTTTATGCATTTTTCAAATGGGTGTATATTGTCACACATCTTTTTTTCTTCTTCTTTGGAACACATTCTGGCCTCAGATACTGTACATACAAACGTATGACTGCAAATTGTGCCCATTTAATCATCCACCATACATTTGTGAACTTCTTTGGAACACATTCTGGCCTCAGATACATACAAACGTATGACTGGAAATTGTGCCCATTTTATCATCCACCATACATCTGTGAATCAAACTGATGGTATGCAATGCATTTGTATTATGCATCTTACCTTTTATTAAGATCCAAATCTTCTCCATTAGCAATCCTGTTGTCCTGTTTAAAGAAACATGAATGAGAAAAAGAATTACGTCACTTTCTAACATGTTGCTCACACATTACTAACTTTCAGTGCAAAGTTGTACTGTTGTAGTAAGTCCAGTGGAGTGGGAATCCTGTCACCAAAACATAAGTGGCTGAAATCCTGTTGCATGATCCTGCATGTATAATGGGGATGGTATCAGCAGCAGTGGCAAATTGTCACTGATTGAAGACTTCCTTTGGCATTTTTGGGGCACACATAACTTCTTTGCATTGTGTACCAGTTACGTGCATCTCAAAATTTAATCAGTAACAATTTGCCATTAAGCAGCAATTGTTTGATGCTGCTGCTCAAATCATCTCCACTGTCAATGCAAGGCTTCAGAACAGGATTTCAGACACTACATATGATTAACTCACAGTGCAAACTATCCAATAAATTTCATGGCTGTCTTCTTTGCTATATGTTTTATGGTCTCTCTCACACACGCACGCATGCACATGCACGCACACACACACTCACAGAGAGAAAAATAATTTCAGTTTTTGAAGTAGCAAAAAACAAAACGGATTAATCTCAGCATATGAGAGGAACAGTACTGCAACTGCAATAGATTTCTTACCATTTTTCTTCTTCTTCTCTTTAATAACCTTAAGTTTTCAGATATTTCTGCAACACAGAACAGTTCTAGTGAGCCTTTTTGAACACTTTTCTTCATGACAGAAGGTTCACACAATTTAAGAACCACTAAAACCTTCCCTTTAGGATGGAAGGCTTACAGAATTTTTTTTAAAAATCCCAGTTAAATGGTGATGATGATCATAGAGAATACTCAGAAGTGCTTTACTATTCCTTTCTTCTGGGGGCACCCTGGGACTGTACAGCTTGCCCAAGGACACACGGGCTGGCTCTACTCACAGGTTTTTTGGGACTGTTTGGCCATTTTTCTTCCTAACGTTTCACCAGTCTCTGTGGCCGGCATCTTCAGAGGACATCTTCAGAGGACAGGAGTTAGATCTCTGTCTTTGTTTTGGTGTAGTGTGTGGATACTATTTCTTTGAAAAGTAGACTCAAAGAAGTTTGTCAAATTCTTAACTAGCCCATCAAGGCTATAGATCAGATCAGTAGTGTAGGAAATGCTGCATCTGGCTACCCCTAGTTGTAAGCCACTTGCCTCTGAGAAGTTTCCAAACAAAGCTTAGATGCAATAGCTCCTTCTCCCCCTTGCCTATTCTGATGCTGAGATTAGGGTTTTTTTTTTTTAATTTAAGTTGTCTTTCAGAAATGATGTGATGTACCCTGATCTTCCTAGTAGACACATAAATAAGCACATGAGGATGGGGGGGGGGAATTGTGTACAGCATGTCCTGTCTTTTGTTCCCGCAGTTACAGTTGTTCCTCTATTACCATAGATGAGCCACAAAATCTGCAATTATAATATCACAATTTCATTGTAACAGTTCCCACTGCAAGCCACCCAACCCCAACATGGATACAATGCAAGAGGCAAAAATAGCTACAGTATATTCATGTTGTTACCTTAGGAAGATCACATTCAGCAGATGTTCTGTGGGAAGATTCTCCACTCTGCCTGGATAGGTTTCAGGAGCAAGGAATATATATATCGGATTGCAAAAGACCTGAGTCATTTCATACCATCAGTGACAGTGGCTACTTTACACATAAGGTAAGACAAGGAATTGTGAGTTAAGCAATAGTTGTATGTGCATTCCATTGTATACTAGGGACAGTCCCAATTGATAATTGTTTGGTAGAGTGCTGTTTTTTTTTGTCCTTATTTTATCACTCAGGGTGCTTTAAAAAAATTTTCTCGCAGCTTATGGACTTCAACCTCAAGGTACAGTAAATCCCTGAGAATTGCATGGATCAGGACATCCTGTTTTGTGAATCGTTCTTGCAGATGCATGTGAACTGGTTGTTATGGGGCAAAATCCTACTGCATAATTGCACATGTGTGACTCAGCATTGCTCCCATGGGAATTTCGACAGCACCAAGGTGGAAGTGCTATCTGTGAAGCACTTCTGCTGGAACATGGTTCAATGAGTCACATTGGGGGAGCTTGACTAATTGTGCAAGTGAATTGCACTGTTTCATGTTGCTGGATGTAACACTAGGCGGATTTATATTGGTGTAACTTTATGCTACACTGGTGTGAACAGCATTTTGCCCACTATTTTCTCCATCCACCAGAAGCCCCCACAGAATGATGCTATACCATGATGTAGTGTTGCTCCACAAGCCTTGGCAGAGCATCCATTTCTCTAAAGAACTACAGATTGACAAATGCATCAGAAACTACAGTACAGGCATGGATACTCTGTCAGAAATCTGGACTGTCTGCCATTTATCTACTTCTGTGCATTCTAAATAATAATCACATTAATTAATGGTGTGGTTGTTATGGGGCAAAATCCTACTGCATAATTGCACATGTGTGACTCAGCATTGCTCCCATGGGAATTTCGACAGCACCAAGGTGGAAGTGCTATCTGTGAAGCACTTCTGCTGGAACATGGTTCAATGAGTCACATTGGGGGAGCTTGACTAATTGTGCAAGTGAATTGCACTGTTTCATGTTGCTGGATGTAACACTAGGCAGATTTATATTGGTGTAACTTTATGCTACACTGGTGTGAACAGCATTTTGCCCACTATTTTCTCCACCCACCAGAAGCCCCCATAGAATGATGCTATACCATGAGGTTGTGTTGCTCCACAAGTCTTCATGGAGCATCCATTTCTGTAAAGAACTACAGGTCCCAGCATATCAGTCGATAAATGCCACATATGCATCAGAAACTACAGGTGTGGATACTCTGTCAGAAATCTGGAGTGTCTGCCATTTATCTACTTCTGTGCATTCTAAATAATAATCACATTAATTAATGGTGTGCATGGGACTACAATGTGTGTGTGTTTAGACTACATAATTTGTGGTTCATTCCATTATTGCCCTTGAGCAATTGCTGCAACTATCAATATTTAACCACTGGGCAGCAAACATATTGCTATAGTGAGAAGCATGCACTTATATTATTATAGTAATTACTTATAATTTTCCAGTTAAATTCAGACAGACTTGTGTCCTTTTTTTCTAATGTGAGATATCTCCTTTTTTTGGGAACAATCCTTTGGTCAAACTGATGCTTTGTATGTGCTAGAATGCTCCACATTAGCATGAAGTCCTCCTACAATAGTATCTTCTGTGAATAAGAGTACAGTGGTGCATTGCTAGACGATGATAATCCATTCCACTGAAATCGCTGTTTAGTGAAATCATTGTCTAGTGAAAAGCATTTCCCCATTGGAATGCATTGAAAACTGTTTAATGCGTTCCAATGGGGAAGAATCGTCGTTGTCTAGCGAAGAAAGCCACTTTGCAAACCACTGATCAGCTGTTTAAATCGCTGTCTTGCGAAGCTTAGGTTCCCAAAACACCTGTTTTGCGAGCATGGAGGGAGCTGTCTAAATCGTCGTCTAATGCAAATCGGTTTGCGAAGCAGGGACCAAACATTGTCACGCGAAATTCCCCCATAGGATTATAGTAATTACTTATAATTTTCCACTTAAATTCAGACAGACTTGTGTCCTTTTTTTTCTAATGTGAGACATCTCCTTTTTGGGAACAATCCTTTGGTCAATTGATTAGGTAAACTGATGCTTTGTCTGTGCTATGATGCTCTGCATGAGCATGAAGTTCTCCTACAATAGTATTTTCTGTGAATAAGAGTATAAGGACAGAATACAGAAGCACCACCTATACCGTTCATACACATTTCTATCATACACAAAATCTCTTGTTATTCATTCCCTTGAACAAGCACTTTTCTTCTTAGTCAGCATCAAAAAGAGAAGTTTGCTTGCTGTCTGTTATATACAGTACTTGACATTGTTTTGCAAAAGAGAAGTTTGCTTGCTGTCTGTTATGTACTTCACATTGTTTTGTTTGTATCATGCCAAATATGTGACCTGTTTTTCATTGCTGTACGTCGTCTGAAGAGAAATGTTGTGTATGCTGTTTTATTTCTAAGAACTGGGGTGTTGCCAATGTGCTGGGAGCAGAGAAAGTGAACAAGAGAGAGAGAGAAAAAAATCTTAGCACGCTGAATAAGTTTCTCAGTCCTGTATGTGTGGAATATATAAATGACAGATAATAAAATGCATCCCAAAATACCGAAAAGGGTTGTTTTGGCATAGCATTCTCCAACAGAGCTGGACATCCAAAGTTTTTGGCTAAATTCAGAATGGAGCAATTACTGTAGATAACTCAGAGCAGCAAAGGGTTGTTTTGGCATAGCATTCTCCAACAGACCTGGACATCCAAAGTTTTGGGCTAAATTCAGAATGGGGCAATTACTGAAGATAAGTCAGAGCAGCAAGTTATCAAAGAGAAGTCAAAATGTTAATATTTTCAAAGATTATTTGATTTGAAAAGCCAAGGATTTATGAGGAGTCTGGATAGCTGGGTACCCTTGGTAAGGAAGACCGGATCAAACCATTTGCTTTCAAAATTAGAATTTGAAATGAGGACACTGAAAACAAGGTCTCAATTTCTAATCCAAGGACAGTAACAACATGAAAAGAATAGATATTTAGGAAGAGACAAGCTACTAATTTGTGGATGTGGTTGTGTTTGGCTTGAGATCAACATTCCCCCCCCCCAATTTTTAGCCCCACTAGATGGGACTCTGACCCTTGCATGCATGACGTCTCCCCCACATGCATGTGACTCCTTCCCCACCCCGGAGTGGGGTTCTGCCATGACTGAAACCAAAAGGTCTGAAAGAAATCACTGTAGATGCATGGAGGAGGGACAAAGTCATGTGTGCCCATACAGGCGCACACGTTAGAGGGAACCTTACTTGAGATCATGAAATTCTTTGACACAATACCTCGTCCTCTTCTGTATGGAAGGGGTAAACCTCTTGGCTGAAAATTAGCAACTCATAACAGTGTTTTCTTTCACTGTTGAGAACCAGGGATCTGCCACAAGATGTGGACTCTCGAGCTTGTTTCTAGCTCTCACTGCCATGTAGATTAATAGAACAGTGTGGATTTACCTCATATATTTTCAGGAGGCTGCATTTCTTTCCCATTTATTTGATTCATCCTCATTCTTTTTCTTAAGATTTCTTGCACCTAACGCTCAAACTAATACTTCATAGAGTAGAGGTTATCTCTGTTGTTTAAATGTGCCACATGGAGTTAACACCTCTAAAATGAGCTATCTGATTTGGCAGACTGGATCAGTCTCTTAACAAGAGGTCGCTTTTAGAGACTTTCAGTGTGGCATGAAATTGTGGCTTAATTTCTACTGGAATGGACTTAGAAATGAAGCCACCATTTCATGGAACACTGGAAGTCTCCAATTATTTCCCAAGGCTGGAAAAGAAAGCAATGAAAGCACCTTCAGATTTCTGAATGCCCTTTAGATCATCACGAAAGAAATCTAAAATGTAAACTGTGTCATTTATTACCATGTTAACTTCAAAAATTTACAAATCTGTTACTTATTTCAAAGGGCTTTATTGATTTGGTTGACTCTCCTTCCAAGAAAAGAACTCTATGGGTTGCAACCCAGAACATAACAAAAGCACTCTTTATGGAACTTGGATTCTTTGAATTCTTCTCCAAGTCACAAGCTTGCAAACTGCTTTTCTCAGGGCCACCCTAAATTCTGTGTTTCGCAGGCTGTAGATGAAGGGGTTTACCATGGGAGCCACGATTGTGTAGAAAACAGAGAAAACTTTGTTCATATCTCTCAGTGCATTGGTCTTTGGTAAAATATACACAATGATCAGAGTTCCATAGAAAATTGTAACCACAGTAAGATGAGAGGAGCAAGTAGAGAAGGCTTTTCTCCTACTTGTAGTTGAAGGGATTTTCAAAATAGTGGTGATGATGCAAACATAGGAGACCATGGTCAACAGCAGTGGTGGCATTGTGCATGCAGCGCTTAGAACTGACATCAATGTTTCTGTTTGTTGAGTGTCACTACAGGAAAGCAGTAACAATGGTGAGTAATCACAAAAGAAATTGTCAATTTCATTGGGACCACAAAATTTTAGTTGTGAAGCAAAGAATGTCGTAAATGCTGAAGCTACAAAGCCAGTTATCCAAGTAGCTAAGGATAGTTGAAAACACAACCTGCCATTCATAATGGTCACATAATGTAGTGGCCTGCATATGGCTAAATACCGGTCATAGGACATCGCAGACAAGAGATAACACTCAGTGCATGCAAGGGAAGCAAAGAAATAGAACTGGAGAAAACATCCAGTGAAAGAAATCCTTTGGTAGTGGCTAATGAAACTGGCCAAAATCCTAGGGAGAATTGTTGACGTGTAGAAGGTCTCCAAAACCGCTAAGTTCCCAAGGAAGAAGTACATTGGCTTGTGCAGGTGATAAGTAGTAAGAACTATTGTTGCTACAAGGATGTTTCCACCTATTGTTATTATATAGACTACTAGAAACATTAAAAAGAGGAGACTCTCCGGTGCAGGAACAGACTTGAAGCCTAGGAGGAGGAATTCTTCCACCATGGTGTTGTTGCCTTTTTCTCTTTTTGTTATCAGTTGCTTCATCCAGTGAACAAACAGCTGCTAGGATAAAAAAAAATAGTCATAGGTGTGCATGGAATGATACCTAAATATAAGCTTTAAAATCTGGCTGGCCCCCCAAATGTGTGTGAAGAGTGCCTGTAAGCTATATTTAATTTCTCTGGTATATTGATGAAAGCATATTGAAGGTATTAGGCTGGGTGTAGACTTAGCTATACTTAGAGTAGATCTGCAACAATCAATAGGAGTTAGATGGTTGTTGTAGGTTTTTCGGGCTCTTTGGCCGTGTCCTGAAGGTTTTTCTTCCTAATGTTTCGCTAGTCTCTGTGGCTGGCATCTTCAGAGGACAGGAATTAGAACTCTGTCTGTATTCTGGTGTCATGTAGTAAGATGCCAACCACAGGGACTGGTGAAACGTTAGGGGGGAAAAACCTTCAGGACACGGCCAAACAGCCCGAAAAACCTACAACAACCTTTGGATCCCAGCTGTGAAAGCCTTTGAGAATACAATAGGAGTTAGATTTTATTTTTTCACAGTGAAGTCTAGAGAGCATCCTTGATTTTTTTAAATATAGGTTTAAACATAACATTATCATATTGAAAAAGGAAAGAAAAAGGGGAAACAGAGAAAAATAAAAAGCAAAATGCAATACAGTAGTGTCTATACACAGGCTTTTATGAAAGATTTCAAAATATCAAAATTACTCCATACATTAATATATTGATGATTTTGTAGGGTCGTCTGGCCACTGGATTACTGGTGGTGTGCATTTAACAATCCCAGTGTTGCAAAATCTATCCTTTTGCAATTGTAAGAGCATGGACAATCCATCTATGCTGGAGAGTGGTTAATCTCCCAAAAGCAGGTATATAGGTTAAAGGTACATAAACATCAACAAAGATCAAAGAAAGGTTTAGTACAAAATAAATGCAAGTAGTAACTCCTCTCCAAAAGGAGCTTACGACTAGACATAGCCATAGCATTAAACAAGGCCTACCTTGAAAAAATGACAGAGCCAACCATTAGACAATTGGTTCAGAGCTTTCCTAAACAGACATTGTGGTGCCCAATATCGTCTAAATAAAATATTTTGTTGAATGAGTTTTAGCTTAAAATCTATAAATATCTCAGATAAGCTGGTACATGCTGTCTTTCAATGATTAAGCAAAATAACATGATCTGTTTTCTTGTTCCATTCTAGTCTGAGACTGTGTGCATCATATTTATTAGATTATTATATTAGATTAGGCATCCTTCAGTCTTGAGAGACTATGGTAACGTGCTCTGTATGGAGGACTTGAAACAACATATAGTGTGGCTGAGGAGGCCAATTCGAGAGTGACAGTCCCTTCCACACTGAAGACAAATATAAGCTGTCCCCTGTACAGCTCCCTGATTTTGCTGGTTCTGGGTCTGCTGGACAAGGGTCTCTTCAAATTGGGAGATGCACCGTCTGCCTCCATATTTATTAACTGAGAACAAATAGTTATAAAGAAATAATTTCTTTTCTTGGGCTAATTCAATAAGAATTTCCAAAAATCCAGGAGACTCTGAAGCATGCAAGGCTACTGGACCATACTTATATATCAACTGGTGCTGTATAATGGGGGTTACATTAATCATGAAGACTAATATAGGTTTCATTGATTTCAACATTTTAAATAGGACTAAGTCTGGATTTACTGCTTTAGTAACAAATACTGATGAGTATTACCATCAGAACCTGTAATAGTAGTGGTGTAGCACTGCATGAAATATGAGAAACTCACTTGCAATGCATATATGCCATCACTGAGTGTGAGGCAGAACCTGAAACAGAGAGGTCAATCAGACCAAGAGGTCTTAACCTCTTGTGGCTGAAATCCTGTTACTTGGTGTACTATGTCATGACTAGAATTTGCTCATTAAATCAATAGAACTTACAGAGGAATTCACTCATCAAATTCCCACTAATTCAATGACAATACTTTAGTTATGCTTCACTGCACTAAGCAAGAGGATGTCAATCACTGTTAATTACATTCAGAAGAAATTAATGATCCTATTAGCAAAGTTAACATAAGTGACTTCCTTTTCCAGATAAGTAACTCCAAGTTCCAAGTTTAAGTTTATTGCATTGGCTAAAAGCCATCACAATTGATTGAGATACAAATATGATCATGTAAAATCATGATGAAATCACAAACATATAAAATAATAATAGGCCTATCTACAGGAGGAAAGATTTTTTAAAAGGGGGGGAGAGAAAAACAGGGGAACACCCATGGGTAACCCTTCATATCTGGAAGTCTCCCGCACAGAGGGGGAGAGAAAAACAGGGGAACACCCATTGGTGACCCTTCATATCTGGAAGTCTCCCGCACAATTGATTGTGATGGCTCTCAGGAAATTAGTGCGATGTTTCTGATCGCTTTTGCAAACAGCACTGTTCTGTATGTAACATATGGGTTACAGTCTGAAAGTAACCTGCCCACCTTTATCTGAGGGATTTCCTCCTGTAGGCCAGCAAAAATGTTTCCCAGGAATTTTTCTCTAGGGTTTTGACAGAACCAACAGTTGAGTAAATAGCGAACAACATCCTCTATCTCACCTGCTCCGCAAACACACAGCCTTAGATGCTTAGGGACATTCATGTACTTGATGTCTAAGACAGAAGTTGGCATGGCTTGGAAATGAGGTTGTGTGAATGCGGTTCTCAGGGAGGCAAAAGGAAGTGTATGTAAGTATTGCGCCCTTGAGTGCTTTGTTTTCAGCAGATGGTACCAGTGAGAGAAATTTGAAGAGTCTATTAAGACTAAGTCCTGGTCATTATCCAATTTGTAGATCCAGTACCTCAACGTATAAGTAATTAAATAAGCATTAGACCACAGAATAAATAATAGGAGGTCAGAGTCCAGACACAGAAATTCTTGGAAAGGTAACTGAAATATGAAGAAACTCTACGTTATCCTTTTAAAATTAGCATTATTTATTTATTTATTTATTTATTTATTTATTTGTTTATTTATTTATTCAATTTATATGCCGCCCACACTACCCAGAGGTCTCCCAAAAGAGCTGTTTCATGTTCCAGCTAGGCACTGATCTCATCATCCACACAGTTTCAGACAATGTTCAATGCTCAGAGTTCAAGACTGGTAACTACACTCAAAGTCTCTCCCTGCCGTTCCCTCAGTTTTCATGTTGTGCTCTTTTCAAGTTGACTGTAGCCTCCAAAACATTTTCTGCTTTTGGGATACACATTCTTCTGGACAGGGTTTGAGCATATTTCTTCCAGCTTCCATTCTGCTGAAAAAGGTTCATGCAGAGTTGCTGAGAGGTAGGTGACATTCTGCACACATCCAGTTTAACAAAGTTTAAATAGACTGTTCTGACTGTATATTATTTTCATTGGCCAAAATCCTGTGGCAAAGTACCAAAAGTAGTGGGGGGAGGGTTTCAGTCGGTCAAAACTGAGACTGAGGAGGAACATCATCTGACAAGACATTTGGAAATTGGTGCACCAGTTAATCACACACACAAGTACCAATACCTTTAAGTATTAAACAGATGGCCTACAGTTAATTATGTTAAGCTACCCGTAGTTCTATTATTGAGTAACAATTACATAAAATAATATTTCAAGACAGCTCAGCGGTTTAGGTTTCTGGCTGTGAAGCCAGAGGTTGGGAGTTTGATTCCCTGCTGTGACAGAGCCTGGATGATGCATAGGATCCATTCCAGCTCTGCAGTTGTAAGGTTATTATTATAAGACAAGCAAAATAACAGGCTCTGTGAGACATAGCCACTCAACATTCACTGACAGATTTTCAATACGTACTTGGAAACAAAAGAGTGAAAACTATAAAAAATTATTGACTCCTGCTCTTGAGTGATATTTTGACTCTGTAACCTGAACATACGACTCATCCTATCTTGCTGTATTCAGTATGCAGCAGTGAACAAGAAACACAACCATTTGAGGAACTAAACCTCTTGACATGATCTCTTACTCCTAGTTGGTCTGGAATATTTGTCAAGAATTTCATCTGTCACATGCTCTTAGAAGACTACGGTATTTCAAATGCAAAATTAAACAAACACAGGGCGAGAGAGTGTTGGTATTTTTCTACACTGCAGCCTTATATGCAGTACTTTGTGACAACACAAGGCATTGTGCTGCAGAAGAAAAAGACGGTTGCTTTCACCACCAGCAGCACAAATTCATGCAACACAGCTAACAGCCTTGACAGCTAGATGTTAATTTAACACTGGTGATTTCAATTTTGTAGTGATGGTTTTTAGTCCAAATATTAAATGCATTATCCAAGGTATTGAAATTTTCGGGGGGGATAGGTTCTGAAAGGTTAAGAGTAAAAACAAAAGAGATTCAGAATAATTGGAATCACCAATCTCCCTGGCTCCCAAAGAAACAAGGGATGACGGGGAGCCCATGAGAAACACTATAGCCCTGTCTTCCTATTCTTCACCGCCACTTGCTCACATTCTGCCTGACACCTGCTTACCATGTGCTCACTCAAATACTTTAACACAGTAGTAGGGCTAGTGTCTGTAGTGTGAGTATAACAACACATGATACTTACTTGCATATCCGTCATAGTTTGCTCCCCCTTCTTTCTATTCACATGGTGGTCAGTGGTCTTCCCAAGTAATGCTGCCTGGGATGCGGTTAGAGAAAGAGTTCAATGAGTCACAAAGTCAGCCTAGACCAGCAAAAAGCAACTATCACTCTGCCACCGAAGTGGAGTGGGAAGATGGGAATAACTCAGAGGGAATGGCTCCAGGTGATTTGATGGTAGTACCTCCCAGTATTGACTGTCTCACTCTGGCATACAGAGAGCTGTAAAGGTCTGAGCCATGTAGTCTAGTCTGATTCTTTATGGCTTTTAAGAGTCTCAGTAAAGCTATTTCCATTTCTTCTTTATATGTGAAATGTGATGGACCCTCCATAGGGAGAGCTTCTGGAACATATTCTGCAGCACCTAACCAGTTTTATGATGGTTCTACTCATCAACATAAAATCCCATCAGTAGGTTATGAAACCAGCAGAATATTTACAATAGGTCCTGAGAGAAGTCAAGCTCTCAATCTGATGATTTTGTAACGCTCCTAGATTTCTCTCTCTCTTTCCCCCTCTCTGAGTATCTTTCACAAATATCTTTGTTCCTTCAAATAAGCTTTGACTTCTTCCCTCAGCATTTCAGGAGAGCTAGATTAGATATGAATAAATCCTATGGTAATTTCCCATTTCTTTCACCAAACATGTGACTCCAAAATATGCCTGGCATTCCAGCTTGTATACTCTGTCTGCATCTTTTGTGTATTTATTCTTCTTCTGAGGAGACACAATTTCTCTGGACATTTCCTCTGTAGAGAATTCTATTAGGCATTCAGTCTCAAAGCATGTAGGGGGAAAAGCCTGCTGAAACAAACAGTTTTGTCTCCTCAGAGACTTCCAACCTTTTAAATGTGGTTCTGTTTTATTTTTGTTTTCCTTATCTCTGTAATTTGGAAGAAAAACCTCATGGCACTTCTTTATTTGGAGTCCCTTGGGCCTTCTTTTTAGTGAATTAGTTGATTTAATTGGACGTGAGCGATGCTTATTGGACAAGGCATTTGTGGTAACTCTTATTTTTCTCATTATTTTTCCTTTAGATGCTACAAAGCAATTGAGCAATATCTTTAATTCCAGCTATTATAACTGACTGGTAAGATATGTAAAAGCAGTGGTGGGATTCAGCCGGTTCGCACCGGATCTACAGAACCAGTACCTAACATACTATTAGTTCTGCAGAACCATGTGGCGGCCTGAATTCCACCACTGAACGTAGACCTTGGGAGCAGTTCCTTCGGTCCCTCCCTGAGATTCCAGAGCACTGAGCTGCGAGAGCGGGGAGGGAAGACCCAGGCAACATGTATGTGTGTGTTCACACGCGCTGTAGAAGGGGCGAGAGCGGCGGCGGCACCAGCAGCAGCACGAGGAGGAGGAGGAGGGCGCGTATTCAGCGGCACCAGCTGCCCCAAAGAGAAGAAGGGAGGGGGCAGATACTGGGGTAGGCTAGGTGGGATGGCAAGAGAAGGAGACCAGCACTGCTGCAGCCCTCAGCCCAGACACGAGGAGCGGCGGCCAAGGCTTCTGTAAGAGCCGCCGCCTGCTATATCTCCAGGCTCAGCCTGAGGCTAGGTGGGATGGCAAGAGAAGGAGACCAGCACTGCTGCAGCCTCAGCCCAGGCACAAGGAGTGGCGGCCAAGGCTTCTGTAAGAGCCGCCGCCTGCTATATCTCCAGGCTCGGCCTGCGTTGCTCCCTGGGGAGCAGATGCTTCCTCCTCTTCCTTCCGGCTTTTGCTGCCGCCACCGCCTCAGGGGAACACTGCCTGTGGTGGAGGTTGGGACGGCGTGGGTGCCGACCCTGAGAAAAGACCCATTCGTCCTCTTCACCAAGTCGCGGGTGGCTGTGGGGAGAGGAGAGTGTTGCCCGCTTCCCCCACCCCCTTCCTTCTTCCAAACTCTCACAGATCTGGTTCTCAGTTTCCACTGAGTTGTGTGAGTGTGGGTGTGCGTGAAAGAGGTCTGTTTGACCTCCCCCCTGAGAATAACTGTTCCCATCACCCTTGTGGGGCATCTAGTTCGATTTAGGGTGGTGTCTTGTCCGCAGTAGAGTTGGTATAACTCTCAGTGTAGACTCAGCCTGGGAAATGGGTCTATGTGACCTTTGTTACCGTTTTGCTGGGCTCCCACACGAGGGCTGTTTGTTTTAATGCCTCCCTGACTCCCTCAGGCCTGTTCTGCTCCTCTGGTCTTAAGTAGCTTTCTTTCATTCTTTTACACTCTCCCCTGCCTCTTCGCCCCCGACCCTGTCCCGCATAAACACCTGCTGCTAGGCCTTCATCCCCTGCCCCACCAGCCCAAAATTTGAGGTTTATTTTAAGAGTTTGACCTGCAAGAATTGAGCCCCACCCCAACCCATCCTCATTTCTTGAAAAGGGTGTTCAGCGCTTTTTTTCCCCCCTTTTGAAATTCTCACTAAAAAAAAAGTCCAAATATGGATTTGTTTTTATTTGGATGAGATGAAAGTGACAGTTTTGGCAAGACGGGGATGGCGGTTCCCTGTAAGGATGGACAGATCCAGGTTAGAGACTTAATACTTCGGGCTCTCCAGAGGTACCTGAGGAGATGTAGAGCTGAGTGTCATCAGCATATTGATGACACAATGCTCCACACCCCCTGATGACCCCACCCAGTGGCCTCATATAGCTATTAAACAGCATTGGGGAGATAATCGACCCCTGTGGAAGCCCACAATTGAGACTCCACGGGGCTGAGACACTCTCCCCAAGCTGTACTCTCTGGGGGTGGTCTCCCAAGAAGGAATGGAGCCAGGCAAGAGCCAGGCCACTGATGCCAAACTCGGAGAGCCTCCCTAGGAGGATACCGTGGTCGACAGTATCGAAGGCCGCCGAGATGTCGAGGAGGATCAACAGAGACATTTTATCCCTATCAGCCTCCCTCACCAGGTCATCGTACAGGGCGACCAATGCCATCTCTGTACCATGGCGCGGCCTGAAGCCCAAATGAAATGGATCCAGGGCATCTGTTTCATCCAAATGTGCTTGAAGCTGGTCAGCCACCACCCTCTCGACCACTTTGCTCATGAAAGAAACATTGGCGACGGGCCTATAATTGCCAATTTCGTCCGCCGCCAAACTAGATTTCTTTCTTATGGGCCTAATGAGTGTCTCCTTGAGGGCAGAAGGAAACCTGCCCTCAAGGAAAGACCCATTTATTATTGCAGTGGCCCATTCTGTTGTTATCGGTCTGGCTGCTTTGATTAGCCAGGCTGGACAAGGGTCCAAGGAGGAGGTGGTGGCTTGACAGCGATCAAGCACCCTGGCCACAGAATCAGGCGTTAAGTAGCTTTCTCCCATTCTTTTCCACTCTCCCCTGCCTCTTCGCCCCCGACCCTGTCCCGCATAAACACCTGCTGCTAGGCCTTCATCCCCTGCCCCACCAGCCCAAAATTTGAGGTTTATTTTAAGAGTTTGACCTGCAAGAATTGAGCCCCACCCCAACCCATCCTCATTTCTTGAAAAGGGTGTTCAGCGCTTTTTTTCCCCCCTTTTGAAATTCTCACTAAAAAAAAAGTCCAAATATGGATTTGTTTTTATTTGGATGAGATGAAAGTGACAGTTTTGGCAAGACGGGGATGGCGGTTCCCTGTAAGGATGGACAGATCCAGGTTAGAGACTTAATACTTCGGGCTCTCCAGAGGTACCTGAGAACCAAAGAAAAGGTAAGGGATGATTTTGGCTGCAACACAGTAGTTGAGTCACCTGGTGCAGCGCCTATGTGCAAGGTGATTGGGTGCATCTTTTCAGCAGTGTATGTACATGTTTTGAAGGGGAACATATTGCAAGTCACTGAGTGGCCTTTTTATGTAGATGAGAGACGGCAGACAGCTGTCAAAAATGACATTGCAGCGTAAACTGAGAGATATGATTGGGATGTTTATAACCCACAGATTGATGTGTTCCAGATGTCTCTAGGAAGTGTTGCCCAACCAGTTTTGACAAGATAAAGGGCTGGAGATTACCTTTACA